ACTCATAATTTAGGTAAAACGACACCATTTGTGACAATCATAATATCAATCTGATTTTGAATTACACATTTAATGGCACAAAAAATGTTATGCATGCAGTTTGCATCCTTTAAATTCACATTGGCATTAAAAGATCTTGGACTTGTGTAACCTGCCTGCCTTCATTTTAGACTAATAGCAACAACTTCCACAAAAATCCCCCAAAACACAAATGTGTGTCCTCATAATTCTATCATTAAGTTGTTCATCTAAAGTAGCTCCATTTAAACAGTCTAATTTCAGTGCAGGTTTCGAGTTTGATGCTATAATTATAAGAAATAAAACATATTAAATTATCTATTTGCATAAGTACTTGTAACTCAGTTGCCTGAAACCTGCAGTATATAGGGGATGTAGTTTTACTAAATAATAATGTTTAACATTTTTGCAGTTTTTTTTTTCTTTTTCTTACTAACCAAGCTGACTTTTGCAACTCAATTGAAGCAGCAGAAGTAGTATTTATAAAAAAAAATAAATCTCTCTAAAGTATCTGAAACCAGAGGTTGTATCCTGTCTTGTGTCCTTGTTATGCTTTCAGGTGGAATCCAGTGTGCATGCCATGGTAAAAACAGAGAGACTGTTGGAGGCACACAATCGGTTTAATGTTTAATTTTTTCTGACTCAGACAACTTCGCCCCAGCCTAACAGAAAACAAAACTTGAACAAGTCACGCAACTACTTGCAGTTGTATTTTGTCTGTTGTCTTTCTTGTTTTAATGAATGTGAAAATGGAAAAAAAGATGAAGTGTGTGCTTATATTACTCCTGTGTTCTCCTGCTGCATCTCCAGGTAAGATATTTTATTTAACCCTAGAACACTATCGCCGGGTGATTTTCACCCGAGCAAATGTATTTACATAATTTTCAATATGTTGCATTTGCCTGAGTGTGGTGGGTCCCTGGGTAGCTTCAGCATTGTCTTTGACGTCTTTGAAGGCATGGGTGTTTCCCTACCCCAAATCCCGCTTTTTCCTACAGGCATGTGTTCGGGTGAATTTCACCCGGCAATAGTGATAGAGGGTAAAGTAGGTTTTGGGTGGATTTCACCCGGTGATAGTGTTAGTGTATAAAATCAGGTGATCTTGCCGCATTTCAAGGGTGACAACATTCAGGCTCACCATATTTACTGTCCCTCTTCAACTACAGCTGTCACCCTGTTGCAAGTTTAGTGTCTTTGGCATCCCAGCTAGTGAGTAACACATAGGTTTTTCTTTTCTTTTTTTTAATCTAAAAGCTATGTTATGTAGCTAGCTGTGGCATGACCTTAGTGGGAACAATAAAAGCAAACAAAAGGGAGATCCCACAAGTGATGAAAGTTAAAGAAAATCACGCGCCAGGCTCCAGTGCATTTCTCTTTACCAAAGAACTAACCTTGGTGTCCTTCCTCCCCGACAAAGCTTCAAAAAAGAAGGTTGTACTGCTCCTGTCATCCATGCATACACAACCAAGCATAGGACCCACTCGTAAGCCCGAAGTGATTGAATTTTACAACAAAACAAAGGGAGGTGTCGATACTTTTGACCAGATGTGCGCGCACTATGGTTGTGGAAGAAAAACCAAGAGATGGCCCATTTGCGTGTTCTATGGCATGATCAATGCTGGTGTGATAAACTCATGGATTATTCACAATGAGAATGCAATGAAGAGAGGTGAAAACCAAATGCAGAGGAGGCCTTATATGCAGGCTTTGGCATTGGCACTCATCAAACCATGGGCACAGCAGAGGCTCCCCTCTTCAAACCTGTCACGTCAACTCAGAGTCCTGATCTGTAGCGTGCTCGACATCCCTACCCCTGGCACTCTTGAAGGTGAGGCAGGACCAGTGGCAGCAGAAAGCAGTGGTCCCTTGGTGAGGTGTGCTGACTGCCCCACAGGCTTGGACAGGAAGACGCGATACAGGTGCCATGTCTGCCGTCGACCGGTGTGTCCACGCCATTACTACCCTGTGTGTACTGACTGCATGTAAGGAATAGGTAAGTAAGAGTGGTCCTGGAATTTGCATGTTATCCTTATTTAGTGCAGTGGTTATGAATAAATATCAACAAGTGGTGATTTCCAAGGGAATTCATATGGTAAAAAAACATTTTAGTCAACTGGTCATTTGGCCACTCAAAAAATGCCATTTTTTGTTTCTCTCTCCTGCAGCTGTTCGCGTGTCAAGGAGACTGTGCCTTCACCATGGAAGACTCAAATATCCCATTGAACTACTTCAGTTGTGTGTAATGAATCTAAAATATATGAACGTCTAATGTTTATCAGTACATTGCAGAAAATAATAATCTTTATCACAATATGCAAATTTTTTGAGAAGGACCTGTATTGCTGCTTCTGTTCGGTGGTGTCGAGCCAAATGGACTTCAACGTGTGTTTGAGCTGACGGTTGACTCGTTAAGCTGAAAGAAAGATGCTTTAATCACAGGAGTCACACATGTGTCCACTGTACCATCTGGGAACTCTTCTTGTTTAGCACTC